AGCATGGGTGTCATGCTGTAGAGCTGGAGCATATTTGCTGGAACTGTGGATAGCCAGAAGTCTTGCTGTTCAGTGAGATTACTGTTTTTTCTCAGCTTGACAAATGACATGCAGCACTGACAGAATACTTCTCCTTTGCTGGCCATCACCCCTACGGACACTGGCCAGAACAGCAGCAGCAGGAACATACTCTCCAACTCTGATTTAATCACACGGAGCCCAGGAGACTAGTGAATAGAGCTGTTAACTCTCTGTTTGGTTTGTTTTTCCCATCTGTGTTTTATTAAACTGAGAGCAAGATTTATTCACTTTTTTAACATCAGGAGCTGTTGGTGTCCAAGATGATGGTTGATGTTAAGGTATACATACACAGTTTAACCTGGCTGAGGGCCAAAGAGGCCTATGATTTCCAGCCTAGACAATTTATTTGCAAAAGGACACAAAATCCCTCTACTCTCAGACATTTCTGAAAGGATGAGCATGATGACTTCCCACTCTCCCAGGAACACAATACATAAAGAACACAGTAAAACACTAGGCTCTCCAGGATTAGCCAGGCTCTCCAGGCATGCAGGCAAACACTTCAGTTTTACTTTACTCCTGACAGCCCCTACATAGTCACAACTACCAACGATTTTCTGATTTCCACTCCAGGAATCTTAAATAGATTGGAGATACCAGCTCAGTGTATAAATATTTCTTCTAAAAGCCAAGAATCGTGAATGGCTCAGCTGGGGAATTGCACTTTATGGGAACTGAAATGATGTGCCAGGCTCTCTACTGTAAGGTGGGATAGCTGAAGCACAGACACTTGCATGCCTAATGAGCTACCACAATAACACTCACTTCTAAAGGAGAAGAAAAGGAACCAAAAGATGGGATTGTGAATTGCTTTGAAAAGATAAACTTTTCCTCCAACAATACGATTAAGTCCAGATAGAAAGATCAAGTATACATTTTTTTAGAACTGTAAAGAGGTTTCTTTTAAATACGTATGTTTCAAGCAATACAGATAAAGCTCCCAAAATAGACCTTCAATGCAAATAGCCTCCAGCACTCTTGACACTTTTCCAAAACTTCTGAGCATTTTCTTCTTAACAGCAAGCTCCTTTCCAAAACGTACCACTCTCCCCCTCATCTCTTAATCATCACTCATCTCATCAAAACTAACATGGTGACATCCACTTTCTCTATTGCCTTGCTACTATCCCTGTGGATCATCAGGTCTACCAGATCTATTGTCATTTACAAAACCTCTGCATTCTGATCTTTCCAGGCAAATGCCTTCATAACCTCATATGAATATCATATTGACTGCAGCACCTACACAGAGCATCACCATATTACAATGATTCTTGTAATACCAAGGCTCATGGTATCCCCATATGGCAATAAAAAGTATTCTGAATGCAAGACAAAATTGTTATTACAATAGAGCCTAGAAAATAAACTGTCTCTCAAAGCTTATTCAAAGTCCACCATTTGTTTGCTTAAAGCAATATTTCTCTCACTCACATATCCATCTTCCCCAGAAACTTCTTGAATACAGGCTGCAGAATCTGGTTCCACGTGTGATAGTTCCTGTTCTGATTTGACTTTCAATGTTAACAAAAAAGCAGTGACTTTTGTTACTGTTTCATTCAAGAATGGTCTTTTTTCCATGCTCTTTCACATTTTTATCATCTGTGAGATGACAGCAGGAGCTGTGCATGAGCCAGTACAAATTAAGCAGTATTCATGTGCTTTCTCTTTTACAGCTTTTAAGAATATTGGCAGAAAATGATGGAATCTGCAAGTTTCCATTTTCTTGATTTCTAATGAAAAAAGAATTTGAATTGTATGCAGTGTTAACTCAAAGTGAGGAACTTGGTCACTGTACTGAGTCATACCCTTCAGACTCAATGTTTATGCATTTTATTCAATACATTAAAAGCAGACTGTATGAGAGTGACTCCTATAGCAGGCAGCAGACCCTGGGATAGAAACCTAATCCCTGAGCACTGTGTTAAAAGCTGCATAACTTATGTTTTTGAATGAGAACCTATGTGTCTGGAGTGTTCTGTACTGAACTAAATTCTCCACTGTGTTAGTTACGCCTAAAGCTACAGTTCCCTCAGATCCCCATTCCCCTTTTGGGGAATACAGGTACAAGGCAGCCTATTATAGCAATATTACAAGAAACTTGATTTAGGCATGAGAAAGTTGTCAGGGCAACCCATCCCACTGAGAAAGATCTCTCTTGTCATGCACAGTGGAACACCTTGTCGATGCTTACGGACTTTCAGTGTTGAGAATACAGGGCTGCTCAGGTTTCTAAGGTGAGCTGAGTCACTGTTTGATGTAGGTGCCTTATATTCCTCCAGAGGGGTAGGTGTCAAATTTTTTGGGGGGGGTTTATTTTTTTTTAATTGTTAAGTTTTTGTTTGGCTCTGCTTAGAGACCACAAAACATCCCTGTCTTGATGGCCTCAGGATACTAGAGGTTGCTAGCATGGATTCAGTACCAGTGCAAAGTTCCTCTTTCTCTGTCAGTATGAGGACAGAAAGCAGTCCAACTCCACATACCTGGTACAGGGATTTTCATCATACACAGAAAAATAATACTGTTTCTCCAAGAATGCTATATAAGTACTGTTATGCAAAAATGGCTGCTTCTTCCTCAAAGCTATTCCTATTTACAGATTATTTAGAAGTCATAGAAACTGCAAAGAAGGCCTCATGCCAAAGGCTGTTTCACTGGATATTTAGACAAATTCTAAAGTAGACTAAGTAAAATAAATACAGAATTATCTGTAAAAATTACATTACAGAAGAGAAACCTGGTTAAGTATCTTCCCATCCAATTGCTTAAATTTAAAATAGTCCAAGATTAGTGAAAATGAATCCCTCTGAAGAATCAAATTACTTGCTAAAACAACTGTCAAAATGTCATTTGTATAACCGTTAAAATATTAGGATAGATTCAATTTGCCTTTTCATGCAGTGTACTTTATTTATAAGTCTTTTGGTATGAGTTCAGCTGTGTTCATAATGAACCGACATTTTCAGATGTCACTGCCTGTAGGTGTAATAATCCCGTTAATTCCTTCTTTGGATTTTCAGCAATGAATACACTAGATCTAGGGTTGGGTTTTATTCTGCTTTTTACCAAATATTCTTTGCAACTACAGATGTTTAATTAAAGGCTGTTAAGACAATTTAAACTTCTCAGAAGAATACAAATAAAAGCTGTTAATGAAGTAAATATCTGTTTAATTTACAAACATCAGTAGCATTACTGATATCAGTCCAAATAAGACAAAGCACACTGCATTACACATGTACATCTAGCTTTTTTTGTAAAAAAAATAATAAAATAAAATTGAAAAACATCTGCATTTTTACAGGGTACCCTGGGTTTTACTGAAAGAAGAACACAACCCACTATTGATTACCAATTCTACATTATAATTTAGCAGCAACATGTTAACATGGGGAACATTAGGGCAGTAAAGTAGTTTTATTATTTGGGGAAAGTCACAGTTCTTGATAGCACAGCCTTTTTTCCTTTTTTTTTTTTTTTTTAATAAAAAAGGTAAAGAGCTCCATGGAAATATTAATTTATAAAGATCTACCGTCTAATGTCATTTTCTACACGCCATTTTATTTTCTGTAAATACCGTATATAGGGAAAATTACTTCTCTACAATTGCCACCTAGTGTAAAGACATTTTCTGTCATACATTACGGGTCCTTGGAAGGTGTCCTGAATATCTGCTGTATGTGAAAACTGCAGATTGTCATCACTTTCAGATTCAGTGACACCAAGTGGTCAGATTCTAAGGAAAAGAAAAAGGAAAGGGGAAGGAGAGGAAAAAACCAGACCGAGAACATTTACCCCAAGACGACATGCTACGTTAGTTCTATTGCAAAAAATCCTGATTTTTAAGTCCTTTAAAAAAAAATTACAAAAATACTGGGACAAATATAAATTAATATATATTAAAGCATTGAAAAACAGTAAAAGGGATGGCCTAAAAGGGTTAAGTACAATGTACTTTGATACAATAAATATTTCTCAATGAAACCGAATACTGTATAGAGTTGTTTAGAACTCATAGAAACAGAAATCCATATTATTACTAATTTATCCATCAATAATCTATTTTTATCATCCCCAAAACATTTATATTACAAAAAATTAATACTGGAAAAGGGCAGATAAACACTTTTTTATGCTTCTTTTGCTAACATGCTGACATAAAACTATACATCATCAGGAGATTTCAGGATTATAGTATATTCTCATATCTCCCATTTCCCATCCATTAAATGGGACTCCGTCTTCTCAAGATGCTTAATAATTCCAAAAGATAAAATGTACTTCATACAATTGTTATTTCTGTATAATCTGATTCTTTTCACTCATAATGCTTCCTCATCCATAGGTAAGTGATTGGTATGGTCTGTCAAGACAGTAAAATGTACTGATACAAAAGTGAAAAAACAAGCCTTATGTTCTGGTCAATATTTCATCTCTGAGCTGTTAAGTTGAAAGTCACATGTGTATAGTGTCAGTGTATCTTCAGCATGTTATAAAGAAGAATCCATGTTAAAAGCAGTTAAAGTTTCCCATCTCTGTTTCAATGTTACCAGGTCTTTTTTTTTTTTTCTTCAAAGCTCCTCTTGGTTATGAGAAGTCTCAGTTCAAGCACTTGAATCTTTTTTCAAATGAAGAAAAAGTCTTTATTCTCATAATAAAAATAAGTCTGTTCTGTATTTTACAATATATTTCAAATATTTCCACTATGAAGCATTAATTAGTCCGACACGGTCAATAAGTATACAACATTTTCAAAAGACAAGTGTGACAGGGACACTTAGGAAGGACAATTTGTACAGCCACACTTCACCACTTTTTCAACCTCGTCCACAAATGATGACCCGTCAGTGCATTCAAAAGAGTATTTCCGCCTCTTGCTTCTTAGTGGTCCACAGCACTGCCCGGTTGAACATCCTCCTTTACATTCTAGTCTCGATACCTTCTTGGTCGTCTGGCACGCAGCATACCCTTGCTGCTTTTGGTAGTAATCTCGGATTCGTTCCCCTCGACAAGAGATTTCTGTAGAGAACAACATTTAAAAGAAGAGATACACTTTTGAGACACAGGTCAAAGAATGGTTGACATTGCTATGGAAGATGCTGTGTTTCTAACTGCAGTTGGGATTGATATTTTGAAGTTTGACTCAGACTGTGTATTGAAAACTATTGGTTCTACCAAACATAATTTGATTAATGCTGAATTTTATTTCCTATACCTCCTATTTTAAGTAAAGCTTATATTATGTATATGTAAACCATAAATATAAAGCTATTACAATGACAAGAAAATTGGAAGCTTAAATCTTTTTCTCTTTTATAAAAATACACATCTTCTGTTCCTACATTGCTTGCAGCTGGTTCTGTTTACCATAGGGAAATGTTTCAGAGAGCATGCAATTTAATTTATTAGACCTGGAGTTTAATATTATTCAAACTGTTATTTAATACAAGTTACATTCCACTAACTTCATAAATTACTGAGGTATAAAACCAGCTAAAAATGAGACATCTGTTAAAAGTTCTACAACCATATTCTTCCATTCTGTTCACATCTATGTTCAATACAAAATAAATGCCATCTGGGG